CCCCGCCACCCCCACTCAACACCGCCTCGTATCTCTTACCCCTTCCTCCAACTTTAACCACCACCACCACCCCCCTCCCCCTTCTCCCTTACCACTCCATGCGCGGCCCCCAGTGGCCGTCCTGAGGGGGCAAACTTAAATACCACCCCCTCCCCTCTCCCGCCCAGCACAGCACACACGGGCAGAGACCGGCATCAAAAATGGACGAGGCTTTATTATTTTTTTACATCCATACGCCTCTCAGGGCCGAGGCCCCGGGGCCGGCCCGCGCGGCCAGCAAAAGAAAAGGCCGGGTCAAGGCCGCGGGTGTTTGCATTCCATCCTCTGGCAAAATGTTGTCACAAGAGTGTGTTTCCACCCTCCGGCCGCAACATCCGCGCAGCAAAAGAGTTTTCTAAAGAGCCCCCGACGCCACGCCATAGCCACACTCGAGGCTGTCTAAAGGGCGCGGGGTCACGACACGCTATACTGAAACTTACCTCGAAGCGGACACCCATGTGAGCAGAGCGGGGTAGAGATGGCGGCCAGGTTGGTGGCTGAGGTGCTGCCAGTGGAGCGGACCGCTGCGACACCTGCAACAAGCGAGGGGGGAGGTCAGCACACACAAAGAGTTACGAACAACAGGGTGGGGGCGGCGGCGGCGCACTCAAGGGTGCGGGGGCCGCCGCCGTCGCCTGACCGCCCGCGGCCCGCAAGGCGCCTAATCTCCGTCACGACAACCAACGGCGCCGTCGCGCGCGCTAATCTCAGCGAAAAAAACAAAACAAAACAAAACCAACCCCCAACAAAACGCGAAATATTTCCACCGCCGCCGCCGCCGCCGCGCTCCCCCAACGGTAACACTAAACGAACGCCGCGCGCTCTCACCGCCCCTCACACCGAACACCCCGCGGCGCACCACCAGGCGACGCACACAATCACGACGGGGTGCTGCCCGCGGTGCACAACCTCATCAGGCTCGAGACGTTATCAGCGGCGCGAGGTCCGCGTCGTCTAGGAGGCCTCCTAGGCGCGCAGCCACAGCCTCGCCCGCCGCCGGGCCGCGCCGCTCAGCGTGACGACAAGGTCGCGGCACCCGGCCAATGACGGCGCAGCGCGGCGCGCGCGGCCCGCCAATCCCCGCGGCAGGCCGACGGCAGGCCGACAGCGGGCGCAGGCCACGCCGCGCCACGCCGCGTCACGGCGCCGCGTCACGGCGCCGCGGCGGCCTATGGGCGGCGCGGTACCCACCCGGGGCCGGAGCGGCGCGGAGCGGTACCCGCACCGGGCGCCATTGTAGCAGCGGCGGCCGAGCGCCCCGCCCGCGCGCCGCGCCAAACATACTACGGGGGCCGCTCCCTTTCCGTGAAGTCAAAAAGCGCAACAACCGGCTGCAACACGACGGCGACGGTGCACCCGAAAACTTTTAATCTGGAACTCGTCGTCGTCGTCGTCGTCATGCCGCGCCGACCTGAGGCGAACGCCGCCGCCGCCGCCGCGTGCAGCGCACACAATGCGTCATTTGCAGGGAGCGAGTTTTTAAAGGGCCGTCCTGAAGTCCTTCCTGCAGGCGAGCGCGCTGCACCGCCAGGACTGCAACGCGCCGCCGCAGCCTGTCCTGCCTGCCCGACTTGCCGGCAGCAGCAGCAGCAGCCTTTTCTGTGAAATACGAAATGGCCGGGCCGGGCATTCCGCAGCCGGCGCGCAGGTCCTGCGAGTCCTGCTGCCGCACACTCCCGGCTGCCCCCGCCCGCCCCCACCTGCACGTCCTCCTGCACACTCCCTGCGGGCCCCACACCTGCAGGAAGCCCTACGAATCCTGCTAAACTACCTGCGATATGGCGTATAAGCCCGCCAAAGTCGCGCGCCCACCCACGAAAATAAAAACAACTACTTTGTGATATTTCTCCTCCTTGGTGTGCCTTTACGCTTGTTGTCCGAGACGGCCAAAACAAATCATCCACTTTGCAGCGACATGACTACTCGGCTCCCTAATTGGACGGCCGGCGTAAATGGTGGCCATTAATCGGGACGACGACGACGACCGTCGACGACGCTGTGCTCTACATCGGCGGGCGTGGCGGGGTGGAACCACGGCACCGCCAGGATTCAGAATCTATCGCCCCCGCGCGCGCAGTCATCTAACTCGCGCCCGCGATTGCTTTTTCGCGCTAAACGCCGCCGCGGTGGCGTGGCGTAGCGTGACGGGTCCGGCGCAGAGTGCGGGCCACCGGCAAGTGCGTGGCACCCCCCCCCCCTCCCCTCCACAGCCAGCCGCCTCTGGAATGAAGGCGAACTGCATCAGCTTCTAGAGAGTCTTTATTTTGTTTTGGCGGCGTCGGCGGCGCGGTTAGAGGCCCCCGGCGGGCGGGGCGGGGGAGGCTGGCGGGGGCGGCCAGGCCAGCCTGCTTGGAAGGGGGGAAGGGGGGGGGCAGCTGTCTCATGGACGCTCCGCGCTGAATTCCGATGGCAGAGAGCGAAACGGCAGCACCAGCAGTCCCCCCCCCCCTCCCGGTACCCTCCTCTCACCGCAGCGCGCAGGAGGCGGCCACGCAGCAGCCCGGGAGCAGCAGAGGGAAGACCAGGAAACAAAACGGCGTCCGTCCCAAATAAAAGACCGGACTCTAATTAGTCCGTCATTTACATGGGCGAGGCGGTGGGCGCGCGGCGCGGCAGAGAGACGCACGGCCCGGCGACCCAGGGACGTACTACATCGCGGGGTGATTGACAGTCGAGAGGGCTCTCGCACCTACTCGCTAAAATAAGGCGTGTGCCTCCTAGAGCGAGCGAGTGTGTCTATGTGTGTGTGTGTGCGTGTGTGAGTGTATCTGGCCGGAAACGTCTATCCGTCAACTCACTTCTCTCTTCATTGACGAGGTGGAACGAAGTGGCTGAATACGCTTCCCCCCCTTATACCCCGGCCTGTCCATGTTTTTATACGACATGTCGGCTCGCTTTAGCGCGCGTGGGATCGGATAGGATCGCCATAACTCGGCGGCCGAAAGACACACAGACACACACACACACAGGCGGACGCGGGCGTATAGGGGACAGCAGGACAACACCGCGTGGCTCTTTAGATTCAAAATTTGTCACGCCGCCAACACACCAAACACAAACAAAGAAAAAAAAATAACAACGACATACAGCCGACAGTGTATTATTTTAGATATACTGAATAAAATTACACGGCCAAGCGAAAAACATATTGAGAAGAATACACTATACAAGCATGCAACGGGGTTCAGTTCAGGGGCGGGCGAGCGGCACTTACTCTGAGTAGTCAGTCGGGCCGGCCCTCTCAATCCCTTTCCATTTGGCCCGCGGCGGCCATGGCGGGGCGCGAGGCGCGGGGCGCGAGGCCCTCTCTCCAAAAGCCCTTTCGCACCTCGCCCGCTATGCATGCATCACCTCCGTTCGAAAGGCACGCGGGGCCACCAGGGGGGCCCATAACCCCGGCCGCATTTGGTCAAGTAAAAATAATTATCGCCGTCATCCTCTCCTCTCTGGGCCGAGAGCGCGCAGGAGGAGAAGAAGGAAGGAAGGAGATCGCAGGGCCGAGATTGCCGTCCGATTTACATTACATTCTCTGCTGCGGCGGAGCGCCACGAGCAAGAGAGCGCTAGAGAAATCTACCTTGTCAGAGGAGAGGAGGGGACCTGCGTATATGTACTGGCAAAACGACCCCCCCTCCCCCCCCTCCCAGGCCAGGCCAAGCAAGGGCCTATCTGTCTCGACCATCGGCTGCGACAGATAAGCCCGAAAGAAACAGAGAGAGGGAGAGAGAGCGGTGCGCGGGGGAGAGAGAGGAAGAGCGAGAGAGAGAGAGAGCGTGCGAGCGCCACATAAGTCACACGCATGAGCGCAAGCAGCCCCGGTACCGGCGGCGCGGTGCGCTCGCATACACTTGGCGGCCAGTGCCCGGCCGTGGCCCCCCGCCACGCCACGCCTCGGTAATTTGACCCAATCTGAGCCCGGGCCTGGCCAGGCCGGGCGGGCGGGCACACGCTTTAGTTTTGGGCTTGGACAGGGCCGGACCCAAGTGACCCGCTAACGGCCGATATCAAAGTCGACGGGGTGTTTCGAAACTCATCGCGAGCGCAGGGGGGCCGGTGGCGGCCGGGGGGAGGGGTGATCACAGCCTGGGAGGCTGAGGTCGAATTAGCGTCACAAGAGTGGAGCCGAAACCAAACCGCCCGCTCACCTGTGCCTGTTACGCTGACAGGCCACACCGGGGGCAGGCTGGCTGCTAGGCGGGGCCAGCAGCTGAGATAGGGCCGAGCCTTGGTCGCGGTATAGGCGCAGGCAAGGGGAGGTGGGGGTGAAGGCGGCGGCACCAAGGCCGCCAGCGGCACCGCGACCCGTGCAACCCGACCCCCGAGACCCCACCCGCCGCGCGCAACCACCCCTACCCGCACAGGGCGGCGGCGCTGATTTACGTGTCAAGTTCAAACAGCCACACCACGCCCCGGCCATACGCCCCCCGCGCGTTTTCTTTCACCCTCACATTGCTCATACTCTCATGCTCGCAAGGCCGTCGCCGAGGGGCGGCGAGCTGCCCTGCTGCTGCTGTTGCTGGCCGGTGGGGGGGACCCCCGCCACACACACAGTAGTTAGGCGGTGATTACCACCCGATTGACTAATTAACACCTTAATTACAGCAGAGGCCCCTCGTACCCGCTAAGTGGGCAGGCCCGCCCGCCCGCCCGGCCCAGCGGCAGCGGCAGCGGCCTGCGCGAAAATCGATTCTCTTTCCCCCCTGCAGCAGCAGCAGCAGCAGCAGCAGCAGCAGCAGCAGCGAAGCACAGCAGCAATCCTGACGAGAGAGAGAGGCCGAGTGAACCCACCCACCACCCACCGGCTGGGCAGAAGCGAGAGAGAACGCCAGCAGGGCAGGAGCCGCCGCCAGTGCAGCCGGGGCTCCAGCTTTATGATAATCACGACGGAGACGACGGCGCGGAGGAGGTGCGGCCGGCGGCGGCAAACGGCAGCGTGCCTGGAGGGCTCTCCTCTCCTCGGCTCGCCTTGTGGCTCGGCTTGGGTGCGAAAACAAATGCTCCGCGTCGTCTGCGCGGCGCTTTATACAAACGAGAGAGCACCAAGGCGGCGGCGGCGGCGGCCAGCGGCGGAATGCGACTGTGTGTGTGTGTGTGTGTGTGTGTGCGAGAGAGTCTGTAAGTGTGTGGCGGCGGTACCCACATATACATGCACGACTCGGCTCGTCGGCGGGTCAAGCTCGGCAGGGCAGAAACAGCACACGGTGCCCCGCCCACACGACGCGCACCTTGCGCAGAGTGCAGGGAGCAGTATATCTACCACACAGTGTATTGACCCAACAGCTGCCGCCGCCACCCGCATAGGGCGCGCCCGCGTCATAAACCAGCAGCGAGCAAACATGACGGGTAATCTCCTGAGAGAGCGAGCGAGTGTGTGTGTGCGTGTGTGTATCTTGGACCAGGCCAGTTAGCGGCGACGGGAGAATTGGTGTGGGTGAGAGGACCGCCCGCGCCCCCGCCCGCCCGGGCAGCCTCCCCCCCGCCACGAGCAGCGCGCGGCGGAGCGGGAGCGGGGGTGACTGATGGCCTCGCCTCCT